GGGCTGGGGGGTGGGCATGGCATGGAAAAGTTTGGGAACCCCTGGTTTATGTAGTCCAGTGCAGCGTGGAATGTCCAGACCTCTATAATGGAGAAACCAAACAGCCTCTTCACAGACGCATGGCTCAACACAGGAGAGCAGCTCCTCAGGACAAGACTCAGCTGTTCACCTGCACCTCAGGGATAAGGGTCACTCATTTGAGGACCAAAATGTGCACATTTTGGATGGAGACGGCAGATGGTTTGGGGGGGGGGGGGGTGTGTGTGAAGGAAGCTATTTATGTAAAACAAGAGAAACCATCTCTAAACAGAGGAGGAGGTCTCAGATTTAAACTTTCAAAAACTTATAAAGCAGCTTGATACCCAGCCAGTTTCACACCTACAGTGAGGAAAATAAATATTTGAACACCCTGCAACTTTGCAAGTTCTCCCACTTAGAAATCATGGAGGGGTCTGAAATGTTCATCTTAGGTGCATGTCCACTGTGAGAGACATAATCTAAAAAAAAAAAATCCATAAATCACAATATGATTTTTTAATAATTTATTTGTGTGTTACTGCTACAAAAAAGTATTTGAACACCTGTGAAAATCAATGTTAACATTTGGTACAGTAGCTTTTGTTTGCAGTTACAGAGGTCAAATGTTTCCTGTAGTTTTCCACCAGGTTTGCACACACTGCAGCAGAGATTTTGGTCCATTCCTCCACACACATCTTCTCTAGATCAGCCAGGTTTCTGGGCTGTCGCTGAGAAACACGGAGTTTGAGCTCCTTCCAAAAGATTTTCTATAGGGTTTAGGTCTGGAGACTGGCTAGACCACTCCAGAACCTTGATATGCTTCTTACGGAGCCACTCCTTGGTTCTCCTGGCTGTGTGCTTTGGGTCATTGTCATGTTGGAAGAACCAGCCACGACCCATCTTCAATGCTCTAACTGAGGTGAGGAGGTTGTTCCCCAACATCTCACAATACATGGCCCCAGCCATCCTCTCCTTAATACAGTGCAGTCGTCCTGTCCCATGTGCAGAAAAACACTCCAAAGCATGATGCTTCCACCCCCATGCTTCACAGTAGGGACAGTGTTTTTGGGATGGTACACATCATTCTTCGGCCCCCAAACATGGCGAGTGGAATTAAGACCAAAAAGTTCTATTCTGGTCTCATCTGACTTCATAACTTTCTCCCATGACTCCTCTGGATCATCCAAATGGTCATGGTCAAACTTAAGATGGGCCTGGACGTGTGCTGATTTAAGCAGGGGAACCTTCCGTGCCATGCATGATTTTAAACTATGACGTCTTAGTGCATTATCCACAGTAACCATGGAAACAGTGGTGCCAGCTCTCTTCAGGTCATTGACCAGCTCCTCCCGTGTAGTTCTGGGCTGAGTCCTCACCTTTCTTAGGATCATTGATACGCCACGAGGTGAGATCTTGCATGGAGCCCCAGTCCGAGGGAGATTGACAGTCATGTTTAGCTTCTTCCATTTTCTAATAATTGCTCCAACAGTTGATGTTTTTTCACCAAGCTGTTTGGCAATTGCCCCGTAGCTCTTTCCAGCTCTTTGTGGGGTGGACCGGTGTCTTTATGCAGCTAATGACCTCAAACAGGTGCTTCTAATTTAGAATAATCAGTGGAGTGGAGGTGGACTTTTTAGAGGCGGACTAACAGGTCTTTGAGGGCCAGAACTGTTGCTGATGGGCAGGTGTTCAAATACTTATTTGCAGCAGTAACACACAAATAAATTATTTTTAAAAATCATACATTGTGATTTCTGTATTTTTTTTTAGATTATGTCTCTCACAGTGGACATGCACCTAAGATGAAAATTTTAGACCCCTCCATGATTTCTTAGTGGGAGAACTTGCAAAGTCGCAGAGTGTTCAAATACTTATTTTCCTCACTGTATCAGGAATTTCATCCATGTGACCAGAGTGGCTCCTCTGTGAGTCAAACTAAAGGCTCCAGTATACTCATGCAGACCTTTTTCCACGCGGACTTGACATGAACTGTCCGCAGAGGGTTGAGACTTCATACTCGAGCGTCCACCCTGAGTGGCTGCAGAGCAGCTCCGCAGGCAAGGGGCATTTACCTTCGGGACAAATTGAGGTCGCTGATTGGTCATTTGCTGGCATGCCTACTGGACTTATTGACAGGTCACAATAAAATTTAAAAAAATGAGAGCTTGTAGCCCCAGCCGCAGCGGTGTTCTGTGTTTATATGTTGTTAATAAAAAGTTTAAAAAAAAAACAGGGAGAGCTGGCCCTGCAGCCCACACATCAGACCGGCCCACCAGGAAATCTCCAGAACCCTCCCGCAGCCACGCTGGACCTGATTTTTATTCTCTCGTGACAAATTCCTTCATTTCTCACAATTTCAGTCATGGCATCAATGGACGAGGAGGAAGAGATCACTTGCCTCTTGGAAAAAAACAACAAAAGAAAAGGACATTAAACCAGATCAGGGATGAAGAAGGAATTTAATACATTGGTGTCGCATACTGCTGTCACTGAGCAGTTTATTGTGTGACACCGAGTACGTGGTCATATAAATTGATCTTTGTGCGGACATGGTCTGCGGGCGTCCGCTTCGACTCTAATCCAATATGTGTGGACCTCCGCGGTGGGGGGTGGGGGGTGGGAGGTGGGGGGGTGGGGTGTTAGGATGGAGGGACAGATCGTCACATTTATGCACAGAGATTCTGCGCAGAGTCCTTCTCTCCTCCTCCTCTCCAAATATTGTCCCTACTCAGCGAGGCTGCACACTGAAAAACACTCCTTCTCTCCTCCTTTCAGACCCCGAAACAGAAATGATCTTTTATTCAACAGAATAAATAAATGCCCTGCGGACAGTGCACGTTACACACAGAAACATCTCCAGACAGCTCTACAGAGCACACACACATCAGCAGGTGTCAAAACTCCTGCTACATTTCAGACATAATAAATAAAAAAAAATTATTGTAAAAAATTAATGAAACATAAAAAGATAGAAATCCAAAAAACGTTCAATACAAAAAGATAAAAATGATTGATGTGTTATTCACATTACACGTCACGTTTCAAAACAACGGCGCTAATTTGTCAAAATGACAACAGCGATCAAAACTTCCAAGAGACAGTCCAATTTACTTTAATAAAAAATGGATGGATGGATGGATGGATGAATGGATGGATTGTCCGACAACAGATAATTGAAGCCTTCAGGTTGTTCAAACGGTGCCATGAGACTGGAGCAGGAGCGGAGAAGAGTTCAGCTCCGAACCGTGAAGTGAGGGGAGGGAGGAGGGGGGTAGGACACCTGACAGAACCGGAGCTGCTCATTCACACAACCTGCTGTTGCTCTCCTAAATAGTAATTTTATTAAGTGTTTACAAATGTTAAAATACACCAAAATGCAGGAAATGGCATCTCTGTTATTCAACATTTTTTGTGAGAGAACCCATGGGTGGAATTATGGAAGTTAAACAATTTTCCATGATATTCTAATTTTTTGGAAAGGGTCTGTATGTATCTTACCTCAGCTTTATAACTTGAACTCCACACTCCCTGTTCTTTGAATTGAGAAAGCTCCTCGGATGAGAAGTAAAACATCTTCAGTTAGAAAATCAAGTCCAGTTGTTTTTGTCTTGAACTTGTTTTTATTTACCATGTCCTGAATGACTGAGAATCTTCACCAGCGTATTGCATGCTTAATGGTTAAAACAAAGATTAATGCTTAAAGCTATCTGTACTTTGTTTTGGCTGTTTTAAATGCAGATATATGTTGTAATAGTTGCATAGTTTTTGTTGTCATTTTTGCTATAGTTGCATCTCGTCTTTGTTTGTTATTATCCTTTAAAAGTCCTATTTGTGACTGAGCTCCTCATTTACGGCCAAACCACCCTGAACACACCTGATCTCGTCTGATCTTGGAAGCTAAGCAGGGTCAGGCCTGGTTAGTTCTAATCACCCCTGCGTGAGCAGCTTTGACTCCTGCAACAAAGAGCTGAAAGGTTCACTCTGAAGTGCAGGAATCACATTCGTGTCTCCAGTTTAATAAGAGTCAAAGTAAGAACGTCTGCATGATTTAATCTGCAGTATTTTCCATCATGTCTCTAACGAAGCTGTTTGTACAGGTGGTAGAGTTTTACCTGCAGTTCTGTCATTGACCAGTTTGCCCACTTTGCTCTCCATGACTGTCAGAGTTTCCCCCGGTTGCTGCTCCACCAGCAGGCCCAGCTGCCTCAGGTTGGAAAACGTCAGCAGGTGATCCACTCCATAACTCTGAGGAAGCCAGAGAAATGTTCCAGACAGACACATCAGAGACATACCAGCTTCACCATCAGCAGAGTGGGAGAAAAACACAAACACAACCCGTCCTCCTGTGTTTTATTCACCAAGTCAACTAAGATGGCTGAGTACGACTCAGATTTACTGTTACTTTATTTATTATGTCCTTTAAAACTTAAAAGATTTCTTTTTAACAAAGCAATCGGTCAAAACTACCATTAAATAGCAGAAAATAAACAGAGATTTTACATTTCAGTCAAAATACCCTCAGCAGAGAAAAGAAGCTGTGAGTGTTTGTTTGACCACAGGAAATACAGCGAATGAAACCTCCTTCAAGTACACAAAGTTTGTTTTCTCAGTCATCCAGGTATATAACAACAAAAAAGGTTGAATCATGTCATCTGGACTTCGTTTTTTTGTTAAAAAGAAACGTTTCGCCCCTCATCCAAGAGGCTTCGTCAGTCTGAGGCCTAGCCATCTGGTATTACCCAGAAGCCACCCTGACTCTTGTGTTTCAAGCCTGCCTCAGATACCCCTGAAGTCTGGCCTTTTCACTAATGGTTTCAAAAACACAAAGTTTGTTTTCTCAGTCATCCAGGTATAT